TTTTTTTTGTATATTGTTTGTGTGGGCATGCCAATTGGGCCATTGGTGGCAAAAAAGAAGTGGTATATTCGTGCCCAACTAAAAATTATAGACATCAGAACAAATAATCAGAGCAATTAATCATCTATCAGCAATTAAATTATTTGCATGTTTCACACAACTTGTGTCATCGTTAGCTATCACAGAAGAAGATTTTCTCACCTGGGATTGGAGCTTGATGTTGTGGTTGCGTGAGAAATAATAGACGAGGCTTTGAGTGCTTTGAGAATTAGAAAATCGGTTGCTGGGCTCTCCTCGACGGGGTGCAGGGACGCCAGAGATAATGGTCGTTTGATTCGCGAACAGGGGAAGAGGGGAGGCGATTTGTCGGCGGTTCGATCCTGCGGTGGTCGTGGGTTTCTGCTTTGTGGGAATTACCGAATTATATGCAAAGGCTTTCGGTGAAGGTGGGTCGAGGATTTCAATTTGTGGGAAAATCGGCTGACGGCGTTCGGTGATGTGGGTCGAGGTCTGCGTGAAGGTGAGGTGAGGTAGGGTTTTCTGAAGTTGAGAAGTTTTGTGAAAATAGAAAATGACAATATTAATTATTAAGTCCCAGCCCTAATATTTCCCTTATTTCTGATTTCTCTCCTTAGTCAATGACTCAATGTAGGATTTTCTTTTTTTTTTTAATATATATATATATCGTTATCGGTTCGGTTCGGTAAAACCGAACCCTAATGGGTTCGGAACCGATACCGAATCGATAACACTTCGGTAACCGAAATTCGGTTACCGTTACATTTGAGTCGGTTCGGTTCGGTTTATATTCTCGTCGGTTCGGTTCGGTTCGGTTCGGTTTTCGGTTTTTCGGTCAAAAAATACCAGCTCTACTCAGCAGTCCACCTTTGATCACTACTAAAATACTCAACTCGAGTGTGCTTATCACACATCTTGACCATTAGTAGCTTAACAAAATCCACCTCCCGTGCATTAGGTCTTTGTCTCATGTGTTTTTTATTAGCCGTTCTAATTGTCTTAAATAATTTGGTGTGAAGTAGAATAACGAAATTATCTATATATATATATAATTGCTGGCAGATGCATTTAATAAAACATTTAATAAAACCTTCATAATTTTCCCGCTCATTTTTTTAATTAATGTAGAAACGTTACCTTTTACATTAATAAAGTGTAATAACAATTTTAAATTAATTTATTATATAATATTACTACTAACACTAACTGATTATAATTTTACATTAAATATATGTGGAAGTTACATACTTTTAAAAAATTGTATTGCAATTTTTTTCTTTCAAATATTTTTTTGTAAAATAAAATTATTATTGTCTTTTATCTAATATTAATTAATTGGCACGAGTGTCATAGTTAAACACCTTGAAATCATTTAGACAATTGCTATAACAATGATAAAAAAATTTGTAATACTTTTCTAACTAATTAAATGTATGGTCCCTCTAGACTACTAAATTATATTGTCCATTAAAATTTATAGCATCAATATAAATATTCATACGTAAGTTAAATAATTTATATTTACATTACACATTTGGATATAGTCAAAATTTAAAATGTAATACATCAATTATCTAATATAAAATTTTATATATTGTATGCATACATATAATATATAATTTTTACTTTTTTTTGTGCATGTGCACAGGATGAATACAACTCATAGTTACATATGAAGTTAGATAGTAAAGTTGTAATAAATAAGTTAAACAGGCTAGCCTAACAGGCTTCAGTTTAAACGGTTCGGGCCTAAAAAGCACTGATTTAAATGGGCTACAAAAAAAATGCCCTAACTCTGTTTCTTTTCTGGCTAAACGGGCCGACCCGTCAGGCCAAGGACCGTTTAACATCTCTACTTGGGACTAATAGGATGCAAAAAGGGGAAACCACTCTTCATCCGAAAAAAAAAGGCTAAAATCATAAAACAAAAGATTTATATTTGGTAATTTGCAAGTCGAGCAAACCAAAAAAAAAAAATACCAAAAACACCACAAGAAGGGGTTTCCTATTGCCCTGGGTCGGATCGCAAAACCCACTCACCCGGCTACACAAAAGTAAAGGAAACTGAAAATTGGAAGCCCTACTTTTGACACGGTTTGCTTCACATTCTCCCCGCCGGAGGCCACAGAGATTCCGGCAACAGTACGTGTTTTACTCACCGTCTTTTTAGTGTATTGAGAACAATAATATTTATCGGTGGTTATGGGTGCCTTTGGTTCAAGATTACTATTATATTTTTATCTGCTTTTAGTTTAGTTACTGGGAAATTATGGCGGGCCTAGTTTGCTTTGCCTGTAATGGGTGCTTGTCGATTGAACATACGTTGCAACAGAGGACTCGTAACTGTTGTCTTTTGTTCTACTTGTAAACCAGTAACTATTGTCGCATGTTATGTCTTAACCAGAAAATTTTGAGGCACTTTTCTGAAGAACATTGTCATTGTCCTTAGATTGCTGGTTGAGAAAACACATCTTATAGTATCTTTGTCGTAAAATTTCGAACATAATGGTGATCACATTCTTTTTTCTTTCTTTTTTATAGTGTCGATAGAACATGGGTTGTTGGGTGATCAGTCACAAGCGACATTTTCATTCACAGAGGGCGACAAGCAAGCCTGCATTTGCGCCCAAAACAAAAATCTCCTAATTTCCCTTCCCGATGATGTGCTCTTCAAGATCCTATTGAACCACAGCCTTTCCACTGAAGACATTCACCGGGCAAGCGTCACCTGCCGGAGGCTCTACTACGACACGATCCGCTCCGCCAAATTCGTAAACCTCCACCTCCGGCAAACCGACGAATATGGCCTCGTCTTCCGGTACGGCCCGAATCGTTGCTGTCGTCATCCCTTCCGACGGGCGGTTTTCGTTTCCATGAAACACGGCCGCGTCACGGTATCCGAATACACCGCTTGCAAATTCAGATATATCTTGAAGACTAGCTGCAACGGCCTCATCCTCGAGTACACGTCTTGCAATCCCTTGCCCATAGTCCACGTGGCAAACCCCATCACAGGACCACCCTTCAAACTCCCTCCGCTCCCCGAGAACGCAGACGGTGTGAGTTGTTCGGTGGGGTACGCGGAGGCCTCGAAGGCATACAAGGTGGCCTTGTCGTATAGTTACGGGAGAAGGGACCCTAGGTGGGCCGTATTCACCGTGGGTGTCGATAGTTCGTGGAGGAATCTTGCGAACAAGTCTTCTACCCTCGGCGGCGCCATGTTGGTGACAGAGGGTTTTGTTCATTCAATTTCGATTTCTAGGGACACTGTCGTGACGCTGAATGTGGAGACGGAGGTTATGACGACTATGAGGGCCCCGATGCCCGAGGATGCCAAGTGCTGGTTTTCCAAGGAGTACCTCTCGACTGGGAAGTCCCTCACTCTAGTGGTTGAAGTTGAGGATCGCGTATTTCGAGTTTGGGAGATGGTGTGTGAAGATTATGCTTATTGTTGTTATTATTGGAAGGAATGGGAACGTGAGATTGTGTTGTTGGGAACTAATGTTCGATATTTGTCTAGTATTCAGCCGGTCGGTTGGTTGCAGCAGATGGAGGTGTTGGTGTTTAAAGGTTCGTTAAGAAACGATCCTTGCCGTGTTTTCTACGTGGTTATTGCTACCGGGGAAATCGGATGGATCGACCCCATATCGAGGAACAAGAAGGGACGGTTAGGTGGGGAAGATTATACAATTCGTGGTTCAGTTTTTCCTCACAAGAACACCTTTGTGAACCCACTTACTGTCTAACTATCATGTTCATGCTCATTTCTTGTTTATTTTGGTAGGATGGGATTTTTTTTTTTTTAAAAAAATACATATTGTTTTTTCTATTTAAAGTAATGTCATTTTTCTTGTAATGGGTGCTTGTTTATGACAATATTTTTAAACATAGTTAGTACCATGAAATTGAATGATCGAAATTGGTTTGAAGTGAATGACATTTGTATCAGATATTTAAGGTTTACACATAAAATCTGAAAATAAAACTAACCAAATCAAAATGGGACTGAATACAGTAGAAGTTACACACATGAAATTCTGAAAATAAAACCAAATTGATCAACTTGGGGCTGAAGAAAACAATTATCAATCCAAAAAATTGAATTTGCATGACAAATAAGATGAACAAATTACGCCTGCAGGACGCGAAATGAAGTCGCAAAGCATTTTCTGATTTTCCTGTCAATTTTTCCACAAGCAACCCACGCAGAACTTTCACGAGCAATGTTCTTAACTAATATTTCACTAAATGAGTATCGGTAAACCAGCCTAGCGTATTCATTCTGCACGAGTTATCGAACTAAATAGACGTATAAATTTCAAATTCTATAGTTAGCATCTTCCATGTCACCCAGAATCCAATACAATCCCAAAATTGCCACCTGACAGGCCCTACAAAGCGTGAGAAAAAAACAAATACGAACTTCGTAAGAAAATGCATCACAGTGCCGAAATGCAAGCTATAATTTGCACAACATGGAATATTAGCTTTACACTTACAGTTAGCACTCTTGTTATTCTTACGGGTTTGAATGGAAAAATAATGGAATAAACACAAAAATCGAGACCAAAGTTGTTTCTTTTTTGTTTATTCAGAAAACAATGGACTTCAAAGTTAAGATTCCAATGTTGCAAATATACGTACCCAGAATCGGGATTTTAGAAGTACCTTCAGTCAAAGTACCATGAATGGCATCATTACATAAGATGGCCGAGATAGTTAGCCCGAGGATATTTGCTCTTCAGCTGTGGCCATTGCACAAATAACTGATCAGCCATATGCAGTTTGTAGAGAAGCAAACCGCTCAATGATAGCCTCCTAACTCTGGCTATGCTCTCGACATAGAATATGGAAGACCATCTGACCCCAAGAACCTAGAACGTGCATTTCAACTCGAACAATTAATTTTTATTTATTTCTTTTTTTTTGGCAAAAACTAAACAGGCTAAAGAATAGAATATTCTCATCAAACGAGTGGATAGAATCTCAAACCTTAAAAATGTATGCGATCACGCATAGTGGTATACAAGTCCCGGGGCCATTGCACAAAATCTGCATATACAAAATTGTAGTAAAAATGAAAAGAATAACCAAAAATTAAATAAAAAAAAAATAATCGAGAAACAAACAATACCACTTGAGGTCTGATCTTGATCATTAGCCACAGTGCGTGTGTCAAAGCAATTAACGTGGTGCCAACTGAGGTCACGTACGATTGGCCTACTTCACGACTCCGGTAAATTTGCATGAAGTGAGACTCCTCCGTCTGTCACAACAAACAAATCATCACCTCAGACGACATTTGAAATTGTAAGGTAATATAAGGACACAATCTTCGTAAAATTTCAGAAAACCTCGTTTTCTTTTTCATTCATTTCTTTTCGGCAAAGCTTCAAGGTCCTTCCCTCCTAACAGCAATCACATTATTCTTCCTAAAATGTAAATTATGGGTTCTGAAAAAAAAAAAGGAATTTTACCTTGTCCATCAAAGAATCCTCTAGCACACGAGCCTTTTCAAGACTCATATTATCAGTTGCAGCAGCTACGTAATATCTCGGCTTAAACCTCTCCATCTGCATAGCGTTCAGCAGATTTAGCATCTCCGCCGTGTGGCCGCCTGGACGAGGACCAGACAACACGAAATTTACAATTAAATAGAAAAAAAAAAAATAATAACGAAAGCAAAACAGAAAACAACACAAATTATCACATAACTAAGATCGTGCAAAACAATGGGCTGCAAATTTCAGCACAAATTGAACATAGAAAAGGGGGAATTTCGGCTAACCTGATCCCAGCACGATCAGAGTACTCAGAGGCGGTGGCGATTTTCCGGGCCTGGGTTTACCGGTACGGTAAAAAACGTATGAAATTCGGATGAAAATCAAGGTTATTGTACCAATAATTAGCAAAATTGCGACTCCCATTTCAAAGAGGAGGCAACTACGTTTGCTATCAGATGCCAGAATCTTGCAGCCCGTCAGCAAGAAGGTACGTATTTATTGAAGATCTCAGAACATGTTCCCTGTAGAGGATCGGCGGCGGCAACCTCTTTGCCGGCGGCGGAGGATCGGCGATGCGGAGTGGAACGAGTCCCTTTGTCTTCTAAAGCCGAATGTGCTCTTTTTTTTTTGGGTTTTAAACTTTTGTCTTTGACTCTTAAACGGCGTCGTTTGTGATCAGTTAACAAAAATGAATATTAGTATCTCACTGAACAACTAAGCTAAGCAGTCGTTGGTTCTAAGCAACCGTCATCTTTCACAAATCCACACACACTGGAGGTGCGAACTGCGTGAAATTCACATGGCGACGACGCCGTCGACGTGTTTTCTCGGCCGGGGATTGTTCGACGGTGGCCTCAAATGCGGCCTATTTGTTGTACGATTTTGCCCTACGCCGTCTCAGCGCTTGTTCCCTGCGTCTTGCAGAATGCGACATCGTAGCTTCAGGTTCGCTTTTGATCTTATCTACTTCTTTTATTTTCAATCCTTTTCAACTCTTCTACCTGATATATTTCTGTTGTTCGATTTCTATGGCGGATTGTTTGAATTTGGTTTTGCGCGTTTGGGATGGTATTGTTCGCTTGAATCCTGAATCGCCTCGAAATTGATGAATTGCGTTTTGTATGGTTGATCTAATTTTCGTTTTATATATAATTATCTTGTAGTTTTCAGTGATATGAAATAATGAAATCAGATGTTTTGTTGAAGATTGGAAGTGTGCTGCTAGTTAGCTGCAGAAAATTTGAATATGAATGAATCATAGCTTCTTTCAGGAAGTAATGATGAGTTCCATTAGTCGATGATTAGTTTGGGCGATTACTGTATCCTTCCTTTCTGAAATGTGGTATAGGTTCTGGAAAATAATACCAACTCACGCCCGTTATGAACGCAGGAATACATTTTTCATGGTGCTGATATAATTTTTTCGCTATAGTGTGAGTCATAATATATTTCATTTGCAGTTTGCGAAATAAGAGACAGCAAGCAAAGAAAACCAATATTGACCGTTCGACAAATACAAATTTGCCGCCGAATGGCGATAGAGACTCTGATCAAAGCCACTTGTCTACTAGTAGAACCTTACATTCAAATCAAGAGATGGCTTCTAACGACAGTGTTCCAGTCCTACGCGAAGATGGATTTTCAAACGAGAAGGATTACAACAATTCGTTTGCACTAGAGGAAGTTACAAATGACACCGTTGGTTCTGCAGAGGAAATATCACATTTAATAGATGAGAAGGTGAGCAATTTTACCAAGCAAAAGAAATTCTAGTATGTCTCAACACTTTGATTTTGAGCTAAAACAAGCTATAGTTCGAATTTCATGCAGTTTGCATCTGTAAAATGTCAAATCTTAGTATCCTCTAACCATGTTAGTGTTCAGAACTATTTTTCTGGGCGTTACAACTTACATATGATACACCCCAGAATATAATTATGTTCTCTTCGAAATAGTCCACTGCTATAATTGGAGGAGAACAAGTATCTGGCATTCATCTCGAAGATCTGATTTGGATGATAAGAAATGCTGAGAAGAGTAAGTTGATATCATCTTGAGCCCTTTATTGCAGCGTAGTCCTTTACTTGTGCAATACAAGAATAAATGAATTGTAAAATAAATTTAAGAAGATATGCATGATAGAATTTATGACTGTTATAAAATCTCGCCTCTTCTCTCTCTCTCTCTCTACATGCATTATTATAATATAAATTTATTATTCAGAATCTGAACTCTATTTCGTGGTACTTTTGCTGTAGATATACACCTTCTCAATCGAGCTCGTATGCTTGCCCTTGAAGACCTTGAAAAGATTCTGGGAGAGAAAGAGTCTTTGCAGGGAGAAATCAACATTTTGGAGATGAAATTGGCCGAAACAGATGCGCGCCTCAAAATGGCCACACAAGAGAAGATACATGTTGAGCTCCTGGAAAACCAATTGGAAAACCTGCAAAATGAACTATCGAGTAGGGGTCGACATAAAGAAAATGTACAAGATACCATTAACTATTATGCTCCTCCAGAAAGTGATCTTGTCAGCTCATTTAGCCAAGAATTGGATTCGTTAAGGGCAGAGAACATGTCCCTGAAGGACGAACTATGGGTTTTGAAGGACAAGCTTAGTAGTTTCAGGGACACTGATGAACGCATTAAGACACTTGAAAAAGAACGTTCATTTCTAGCATCTTCTTTGAAAGAGTTAGAGTCTAAACTCGCTGTGTCTCGTGAGGATATATCAAATATGTCTGGTTTGAAGTCCGAATGCAAAAGTTTATACGAGAAAGTGGAGGATTTACAAGCGCTGCTGGATAAGGCGACTAAACAGGCTGACCAAGCTATTCTTGTGCTGCAGCAAAATCAAGAACTACGCAAGAAGGTTGACCGGCTAGAACAATCTCTAGACGATGCAAATGTATATAAACTGTCGTCCGAGAAAATGCAAGAGTATAATGAACTAATGCAGCATAAGATAAAACTACTGGACGACCGCCTTCAGAAATCCGATGAGGAAATCAATTCCTATGTTCAGTTATATCAAGATTCCATGAAGGAGTTTCAGGATACTTTAAATAAACTGAAAGAAGAAAACAAGACAAGGGAAGAAGATGAATTTAAAAATGAAAAGCCTCGTGAATTTTGGAGTAACTTACTGCTTATGGTGGATGGGTGGTATCTTGAGAGGAAGATAACGGTGGATCAAGCAAAGATGTTGAGAGAAATGATATGGAATAAGGAGGAGAGCATATGTGATGTGTATTTGTCATCTAAGGAAAAGAACGAGCGTGAAATAATTTCAGCATTTTTACAATTGACATCGCCAACAACAGGGTACGCTTATAATTTTGTGAATTTTTTATTTTACATTTAACAGACACTGATCCTTGACTGATACTTGATGTCTCTTTTTAGTGTGAGATTACATGTGGTACACATTGCTGCAGAGATGGCGCCTGTGGCTAAGGTATGTGTTTACTACGAGTTTTTAATTTCATAGTTGCTGATTTACATTTAATTGACTGGGAACTTGAAGTTTTCTACTTTTATTATTTATTTATTTATTTCTTTCTTTCTTTCTTTCTTTCTTCTTATATTTGTGTTAGGTTGGGGGATTGGGAGATGTGGTGACTGGTCTCAGTAAAGCACTTCAGAAGAGAGGACACCTCGTGGAGATTGTGTTGCCAAAATATGACTGCATGCATTATGATCTAATTCGTGACTTAAAGGTATTTGATACTCAGTGGATGTCCTCCACATTTTTACCTTATTTTCTTATATATATCTGTTCATGGTGTGCAGGCTTTGGATGTTCCTGTCGAGTCGTATTTTGATGGCAAGTTGTTTAAAAACAAAATCTGGGTTGGTACTGTCCAAGGTGTAGTCTTATCATTTTTCTGATGATAAAATGTCTTCTGCTTCTTCTGAATTTGTAATCAGGCTAATACGTTGGATTATTGTAATTTTACCATTTAGGGCTTCCTGTTTACTTCATTGAGCCTCATCACCCTAGTAAGTTTTTCTGGAGGGGTCAATATTATGGAGAGCAAGATGATTTTAAGCGGTTCTCATACTTCAGTAGGGCAGCACTTGAGTTACTTCTCCAAGCTGGCAAGAAACCAGACATAATTCACTGTCATGATTGGCAGACAGCATTTGTTGTACGGATACTACAAATATTGTTATTTTTATTTCCCTCTCTACTGTGTCTTAGTAGCATATTTCTTATTCTTTTATGCGTCCGCGTGTCTGTAGGCACCTCTTTATTGGGATTTATATGTGCCAGAAGGATTGAATTCAGCGAGAATATGTTTTACATGTCACAATTTTGAGTATCAAGGAGCTGCGCCAGCTTCGGATCTAGCATCATGTGGTCTTGATGTTTTCCGCCTGAATAGACCTGATAGGATGCAGGACAATTCATCAAATGACAGGGTCAATCCTGTGAAGGTAATCCTAGATGTTTCTTGTCTTTCTTTCTTTCCTTGTTTCTTTTATACATAATTATATGCCACAGTTTGCAGATTAATTGGTTAAACGGGTTCTTGCTAGACGAAATCTCACTAGCTGCTGCTTTTCATTCCTTTTCTTAAAGAATAAAAATTAAATTTCAAATATGAATATCTATTTGGTTTTTACTGGATAGGTAAGTTAGTACCTAGCAATAGAGACTAGAGACTCTTGAAGTTTTTCCTGGCTTCTGTTACCATCTTTTTTGTTCGGCCTCTTTTCTTGACATGGTCTTTCTCATCTTCTCAGGGTGCAATAGTGTTCTCAAATATTGTGACGACTGTTTCTCCATCCTACGCTCAAGAGGTGCGGAGTTCGGAGGTATGACTATATGAACGTTTTTCTTCATTTTTCCCTTTTAAATGCTGAATAAGATTATTGAGTCAGTTAGAAAGACACTTATAGTTTAATTCTTTTCTAATTATGAGGTACAGGGAGGACGTGGGCTACACAAAACACTTGATTCGCATTCAAAGAAGTTCGTTGGAGTTTTAAATGGAATTGATACTGATGCGTGGAACCCAGCAACCGACCCATTTTTAGAAGCTCAGTATAGTGTCAATGATATCGAAGGCAAGGCAGAAAACAAAGAAGCTTTGAGAAGATATCTTGGTTTGTCCTCGGCTAATATTCGGCAGCCATTGGTGAGTGTTGGACTAAACGTTCATGATTATCGTCCTTTTCACATCATAATGTTTGCCTTAGTTCCCCTTACACTCCTCTTGGTGTTTTATTACCAAAAATAGATAGTCAATATATATATATATAAAGAACATGTTGGTCATAGTTTATTCTTATATTCACCTGTTACTATTTTATGTGTAGGTTGCCTGCATAACTCGATTGGTGCCTCAAAAGGGTGTACATCTTATAAGGCATGCAATGTATAGGACACTGGAATTAGGTGGTCAGTTCGTGCTTCTGGGATCTAGTCCAGTTTCACAAATTCAGGAAAGCTGCATTTTCTCAATTAGAGTGTTTTTAGCCTTGTTACTATTATAACATGAGTACGCAGACAGAAAGGGAAGAATAATGCATTCCTAATTGAAAGCATTCTTTAAGAAAGTTTTGCGTATCTTTTAGTGGGTACTGAGAATTCTCTTTGTGCAGAGGGAGTTTGAAGATATTAGCAACAAATTCAAGACTCATGATCATGTCAGACTGATACTGAAATACGATGAGGTTCTTTCCCACTTAATCTATGCGGCGTCTGACATGTTTATCATCCCATCCATATTTGAGCCTTGTGGGCTTACACAGGTACCGTTTTTCCTGTAAGATCAACAGTATTGACTTAGTTGAAAAATGTTTTTTTTTTCCTTTTAAACTCATGTCATATAAATGCAGATGATTGCTATGAGATATGGTTCAGTTCCTATAGCTAGAAAGACAGGCGGATTAAATGACAGGTTGGGTTTTCTGTAGGCGACTTAAGAAACAGCTCTCATTTTTCTTTTGCTTTTTTTCCTTTATTTCTTTCTTCCTTTTTCTTTGTTTCTTTCTCCCTCCCTTTCTCTGGTCTGTACCTGCTTAAGTAACGTAATGTTTTAAGCTTCTTGCAGTGTTTTTGACGTAGATGATGATACAATACCTGTCAAGTTCAGAAATGGATTTACGTTTTTGACAGCCGATGAGCAGGTAATAGATACTTGTGTTTTTTATATATGGAGTTAATCATAAAAGTCCCCTTGGAAGTTAGAGGCTTGGTCTAATTTTACAAATTACACACAGAAAAATGAATAAAAAATACCTCCTAAATCGCCTATCTCTATTGATTATTCTTTTTATAGTTAGTTTACAAGTGACATCCTCAATCCGAATTTGAAAACTAGTCAAGAACATCCAAAACGCTATCTTTTCCTTTTCTTTTTTCTTTTTCTTTTGAGCATTTGGTAGTAGATTAATAACTTCACAGTTAAAAGGTTTCTATATCATATTTCCAAAAAAGGAGTCTCCAACTTTTCGTGTATGTACAGGGACTGAACAGTGCTTTAGAACGCGCATTTAACCATTACAGCAATGGTGGTGATGGTTGGGAACAGCTTGTCCGAAAGGACATGAGCATCGATTTTAGTTGGGAAACTTCGGCATCGGTCTACGAAGAACTTTATCAGAAGTCTGTAGCCAGAGCAAGGGCTGCAAATCATACATGAGCCCATTGGCTCTTTTGGACCGAAGTCGAGCATTAGGTAGCTGTTGATACCCAATTTGGCTCCTATTAATTAAATGATAAAAGAAATAATAAAGTACTGCTCAATAACCAAAGGGTCGAAAATATGATAAATAAACATATAAACAGGTTCTCAAGACTTAATCGCCTAAAAAGTTGAATGCATCGCACACGTATCTGCCCTCTGCCGAGCTGAACAGAATGCCGAGTAATCGGATAACACAGATGTCACAATTGCCGATAAAGTAAAAGTCAATCGAAGCCGTCAAAAGACATAAGTAGGTCAAAAGACATAAGTAGGCCCCCTGGTTGTTACTTCGCACTGAATGTTAATGTATTATTTTTACCTTTTTTAATTCATACATATATATATATATATATATAGATGAGAAGAAAGAGGAGAGAGGAGACTTCTCTTCATTTTTCTCCTTCCCAGCTACAGATAAGAAAGAAGATTTCCACCAAATGAGAGGGATCCAATTTTATGATCTATTGTTCTTCACTTTTTCATTTTTCATTCAAGAAATTCAACTCTTATTTAATAGTTGATCGTACGATCTTCAACATCGACAGTAGCATAATCCATATGTGGCTCGATTCATCTGAACAACTCTAATTATTATCAATATAAGACCCTATTCGCAACAACTGTTGAATTCAGTAGATCAATTTACAGAACATTTGACTGAGGACACTATTTGAGCGACATTTAGATCATAATAGAGTTCACACATCTAATTTATAGCTAATAGAATTAGTATTGGCCCAGAACTGCTAGAGCCCAAAAACAAGCCCAAAACTCATAAGGGACCTTTATAAATGGGCTTTTCACGTCAGCCTTATTGAACACTCATTTTGCAGTTTGTTCCCCTCTCAACAAAATTGCCGTTCGCTTCCGCCATTGATTTCAACTCACAAAAGCTCAGCGAAAAAGATGAGAATCGGTAGACTGCGGGAATTGACGCCGTTCGTAAAGGAAGCACTGCAGAAAACCGCACGGGTGGCACAGTTCCTATGCCTCCTCCACTTTACGGGCGCCTACCTCTGTTCACCAGCCATGGTAACGCTTTCTCAGCTTGTACCTCTGTGTACAACCGCTATTAACCTCTTTGTGTGGTGCATTTTTTGCAGACTGTGGGCCCCAGTATGCTGCCGACGTTCAGAGACGGCAACATCATCTTGACGGAGAAATTAACGAGCCGTTCTGGGAAAGTCGGGTCGGGCGACGCGGTGCTTGTCCGGAGCCCCGAGGATCCGACGAAGGTTATGACCAAGCGGGTCAAGGCCGTCGAGGGGGACGTGATTTCGTACGCGCCGGACCCTAAAAACAGTGATGACCAGAAGACTGCTGTTGTAATTGATCGTATACTCTCTTGTGCCTTTTTGTTGGTTTTGAGCTGTTAATCTGACAAATATTGGTGTTTTTGCTAAATGGGTTCGAAGTTATGTTTCAAAATCGATCCATGAGCTTCTTTTTTAATGTGTGCTTGAGTTTCAATGGCTTTTGGTGAAACTGTTGTGTGGAATCTAGGGGTGAGCAAAACCGAGCCGAAACCGAAAACCGCACCGAACCGAGCTATTCGGTGCGGTTTTTGGTAAGTTCGGTTATCGGTGCGGTTTGGGTTTTGAAAAACCGCAAGTATTTAGGTGCGGTTCGGTTTTCTGTCCGAAGGGTGCGGTTTTAACCGAACCGCACCGAATGTCATAAAATGTCACTTTTTTATTTTTTTTAATAAAATATCACCTTAATTTTTATAATTTTACTTACATAACATTAATTGGTGGTTATATTTTTAAATTTCGGTTAACCGAAAATTTCGGTTCGGTGCGGTTCGGTGAAAAAAATTTAAAAATTCGGTTTTCGGTTTTTTTCGTTGCGGTGCGGTTTTTGACCGAACCACACCGATGTTCACCCCTAGTGCAATCTAATTGAGCCGAGATGAGCATTGACCTTATCGGGTAAGGATTGAATTTTTTTTTTAGCTGCTCGAGCTCGCCGAACTAGATTTATAAGGCTCTTGCTCGAATTGCATTGCCCAAATAATAGAATTTTTAAAGCAGTCTTTTTTATTTCTCTTCAATTTCATATAAGAGGTTGTATTTCTAAGTGTGTAGTTATTGTTTACCAAGTTGAGAGAAAAATGTATAGGCATCTTCTTGTATAGGTGCCAAAGGGACATGTTTGGATCGAGGGGGATAATATGCTGAATAGCCGTGATTCGAGACATTTTGGTCCTGTCCCGTATGCACTTATACACTCCAAAGTGTTCCTTGTGGTGAGCTATTTAAATTCTGTTGCAGTATTTGTTTATCTGATTTCTGATACGAGACTTCATTTGGGTTCGTAATAGTTTGATGGTTTTTTGATTCGTGATAGCAGTAACATTTTTCACGTAGATGGTAAATTGTATTCTGAGTTGTGTGATTTTACGAAAAGGGCTTTTTGGGATCATATCATCATTTGTTTGAAGGTAATAATGCAACAATTTCGTGAAGATTTTATCGTATGTACCGTCGATGGCCTTTGTGTGCAGGTTTGGCCTCCTAAGGATTTCAGATCAGTTGGCAAAAATGCTTTGTGATTTTAGCTTGCGAGGTACATTTACTTCAAATTTTGTATAGCTCGTGTGTTTTTTTGTAGCGCACAAAAGTTAAACCCTCCCCCTTTTTTTAAGAAAGTTACCTCGTCTAGTTTGATCGACTCTATTCCTCCATTTTGTTCTGTTGTAGTAAATCGATCGATGGAAGCACTTTTTGACAGCACTAGAAAATAGAGCAACTGAGAAGAGGAAGAACGGTCTCTGATAGAATTGATTTGTCTTTTTGACAGCTTAAAATTGCTTTCTTCCCTAATTATTGGGACAGAATGAAATTCTATCTACCTCACAAGAAATTCCAGATACAAACGAACAAATTGCTCAAAATCTGCAGATTCTTCTTCAAATTGCAGGTGAAGAATAAAATGAATTCCTTTATATAATGTTTAGAACACTTATACAGATGATACTCTATTTACAAGGAACAAAAATTACAACAAATAAGACAACAAAATAAGCTCTCGGCAAAGTTGTGTTTCAAACGTAATTTGTCGAGTAAATATACTAAACCAGCGACATTCATCTGATCTTATATCCATGTTTAACTGTGAAATTCATATGGGGCTTGCTCTTGATACCTGCATTCATTGAACTGAACTTTCAAGGTAACTAAATAAAGATTTCATCCATATGCTTCAAAGAGTGTAAGTTTAGATAATAATAGCAATAAACAAGAGTTAATAGTTTGACAGATAATTACTATCAGAAATCATAATCAACAGATAAAAGCATTACAACCTGATTCTTCTGCGCACGAGTTGCGGGCCGTTCAATTTGGTAATTCTCTCATCACAAGCAGAATAAAGGCTGAGGGCACTGATGAACCTACAAGAATTAGTGCGAAAAACGATTACATTGAAGAACATATTAGAGAATTTTTTATTTATTTATTTTTATTTTTTTTATTTTCAAGTTATCGTTTTTAGTCATCTTTGAGGACTACACACACTTTTTGAAACAGTTAACAACACTATACCTCTTGAGGGTGCAATTTGCACTTGTAATTTTGAAAGCTAACTATATTTTTTATAATTTACGCTGAAACTCGGGTAGTTTCTGTTATTAATAAGCATAACTCGATAACTTACCTATGAAATAATACAAAACCAGCAAAAGGGCAGTGTAGAAGCCATCAAGCTGTTTTCCATGCCAGCTATAAAACAGCTGCAAACATGGAAAGAGATAGCTTTCAGAGACTTCAATACAAGAAAAAATAATTTGAATCAATAACGCAATAATAATAAACCAGCGAAAAGAGTACTTACAGGTATATTTGTGCCGATAGCAATAGAAGCGCTTGATGTGAAGCTTACGAGACAGACAATCGCCAAACTAGCAACCTATGTGGCATGACAAAGATTATCTTGATGAGAAGGAACTATTAGTAGGAAGAAAAAAGAAAAAAATAGAAACCTGTTGCAATAGATTTAAAATATATTGGGAACATATTGGTATCAGCAAAATGAAAATTTCAGTACTTCCTCTAACAAAATGCAACAGAAATAATACATCCAAAACAGAAATATAACACATGAAAGTAAAACTGAACAGAAATATAACACATAAAAGTAAAACTGATTAGATATACCTTCCACCTTTCCCAGGAAGCTCGATCAGCTCTCACTTTGCTCATTTTTGAGAACAATATAATTCCTGAATTCGGCAGATTGTTTTACACAAAAGGGAAAAAAGAAAAGTAAAGCAGTCATCTATTTGCACAGCAGAGAGAGAGAGAGAGAGAGAGAGAGAGAGAGAGAGAGAGAGAGAGAGAGAGAGAGATTATTGATGCTCACCATAACATGCCAAGGCTCCTCCGAGCAATAAAGCAATTACGGAAATGACATCCACATATACCTGGAAATTAGTAACAAATTTTTATAAAATTCTTGAACGAAGAATATAAAGTTGCCTAAGTCTTCACAAATTAATAAAAAAAAAAATCAGTTAGAGTACTTGGAGTGTAAATACTCCCTGAGCCTAAGTTGTAAACACACTGTACACTTTTATGTATTTTTATCCATTCAAATATTCAAGGTAAGAACTGTTATAGTGCTGGAAATGTTATGCATTGTTTCAGTATTCAAGGTAAGAACTTTTGTTAGACTGGCATGCATGCAATCTTCACTACTAAAGCTATAATCAATTAATGGGAAGGAAAAATAAAATAAAAAATCACGAAAATACATGCCTGAGCAACGATTGCAGAACTGATAGGCCCCTTTCCCATCCCGATCAATATCAGCACGAAAGATGCTATCATTATTGCAAAAACTAAAACAGTGACCTGGTGAATTAATTATTTTCAATTTTTACCAGATGTGGATGATAATGAAATTCAATTGAAAACAAAATTTATATAAATATATATTAATGAATAATAAATAATTATTTGTACCAGAATCACAATTTTTTGCCGACATCCTATCCTATGAAACTTAAAGGAGCAACACCTTTGCCAACCATTAGCATTCGAAGAAGTTATATTGATCTTCTCCAGAAGTGCTTCTTGTGAACTACATATTTCATCGTCTTCATCATCATCACTTGGCTGATGGCAAAGGTCGACCCTGACATAAATCAATTTATATCTTTAAGCGAGGCTTTTTGCCTTAATTTCGTGAGACTAGTAAATTTCTAATACTCACCAAAATGACAAGAGTAGAAGAAATGCTGCAACGAACAGAATTTCCGGAGAAGCTGCAAGTTATAATTTCTCAGCACCCGGTAACTTAAATTAATTATGAATAAAATTAATTTGATTGTTATAAGAAGTAATTAAATAATAATTACACAACAAGCTGCGGTATCCATTTCCCTACCCATGACGATGAAACCACATGAATATGACCAGCAAATCCATCCTTTACAAGCAGCAACGAGAGTTAACACAAAATAAAGGAAATAACCTGCCAGCCAAATTCATTTTTCATGAGTTAATCAAAGGAAAAATGGGAAGAAGTTCACTATTGATTGCCTGATGTAATGCCGGAAAAAGTTTCAGGTGAGAAGCAAATAGAATGTTTATTATAAGCCTATAAGGATGAATCTATATTCTTGAAGATGAAATTTGTTACCATAAAAAAGGATTACTGCAAATGAGTACTAAATATTTACTATCGATGGCAGAGCTCAATCGCCAGGCATAGTCAGTGCCGTTACAAGTGATGTCAACTGAAAGACTTAGTAAAATGAAGTAGTCTGCAAGTGAAAGCTAGCAAAAGCTCACCAAAATTAGAGGATCCAATGATCAGATGGAAGACCTGAAATTGAAAATCATTCACTCGAATAAAGTTTCATGTAAAATATAACCGCCACTACAAATAAATGACATGTTACTGATTTAGTAACATCTTAACCACAAAACACAAAAAACGAGTATCTTCAGTGGCCCACTGGCCCATTATTTTTCTAGAGAGTAGATACTTAGCTTCCGGAAAATGGAATGAGGTCATATACGTTTAAGTAAGTTAGCATGAGCTTAATTTGTACTGAAAGTGGACTATTGATACCTGACTAGTTGTGGCGAACTCATAAACTACGGGTCTTCGGTTTAAAATTTTTAATTGCTGAAAAGTATTTTTTAAGTGTTAGATTAATTTATTGCATATTCTTTTTTTTCGCAACGATAGGAAATTTTATATCACCAATATACGGGGAAATACATCCGGGAGCAACAGCTCAATAATACAAGGAGGACCACTCTCGAAGTGGCCTAGAAACCTAATCACAAGGAAGAACCCACCAGCCCAAACCGAACTAAGGCAACAAACAACGAAGAAACCCTTAGCAGGCCCAGCGCCCAAAAACCAACCCCAAAACCCAACAAACCCCCTCAAAACAAGATCACAACAGATCCCAGAAGAAAATATATACAGCTAAAATAGAGCTAACAAAATAGAACAACAAAACAGAGCAACCATCCTGATCCATAATGCAGAGAAGAGTATCCACTGAAACCAAAGCACCTAGATTCCCTCCCACTCTCCATCATTGATCAACACCTGCTCTGAGCTGGCATCCACTCCTTTCGAAACACCCATAAATTCCGGGACTTCCACAACCACCATAATATATAGGTGGTTAACTGTATTCGATCTTCTGAGATAGCCTTGTTATTTGTCGAGCACACATTTTCCCACCATACTTTGAAACTGGTTGTGGTTTCAGGACTGAAGTCCCAAGTGATTGGAGCCAATTTCCAAACCTGCTTTGCTATTTCACAATTAAAGAATAAGTGTTCTGCCGATTCAGCTTCTTCCCCACATCTATGGCAGATCCAGTCAACCTCCATCCCCCTTCTCTTCAAGTTCTGACTAACAGGTAAGGTATTTGTACAGCTTCTCCACACAAAGTGTTTGATTTTGCTTTTAATGTTCAGTCTCCAACTTCTCATTCTAGTCTTCCTGCTTTTAATGGTGCCACTACCCTCTGGAATGTCAAGGGTTCTGAACTTGCTTTCCACAAACTTAGAGTAAGCCTTTGCCACTTGATAGTCTCCTTTTGCACCTCTGTCCCAAACCCATCTATCTGGTCTAGTGGGGTTTATAGATTCGATTTTCAGAATGGCCCTGTAGTCTTCCTCATAAAATAGCCTCTTCAGCAGTTCAGTGTTCCACCCCTATCCATTATTTTCCATCAGTTCCCAGACATACACCACATCAGTGCTAACATTTGGTTTAGGGATAGGAATACCTGATGGAGAAGAAAGCAACCAAGGATCCTTCCATATTCTGGTTGAAAGACCATCTCCCACAATCCTCTTAAAACACTGTAGATGCTTATTCTTCACTGTAATCCAAGTGCACCACAGCCAAGAGGAACTTTGTGTTCTCTGGGCATTAATAATGCTGCCATCAGGAAAGTACTTGCTCTTCAAGAATTTACTTACCAACAAATTAGGCATAGTAGCTATTCTCCACACTTGCTTAAGAATTAAAGCCTCATTAAATAGATTCAAATCATGAAACCCAAGACCACCCCACTCCTTAGGCAGTGTTAGCAAGTGCCAAGCCTTCCAATGAATCCCAGTCTCCTGCCCAGCTCCTTTAGCCCAATAAAACTTCGCAAAAAGACTAGCAATCTTCTGACACACAGATTTGGGGATGATAAAACATGACATAGTAAAAACCGGCAGAGCACTAAGCACTGCTTTCATTAGTATCTCTTTTCCTGCAAAAGAAAGGAATTTGTTTTGCCAGCTCGAGATCTTGTTCCTCACAGCTTCAACCACATATTCAAAAGTCTGTCTCTTCGATCTGCCAATGCCAAGTGGTAATCCAAGGTACTTAGAGGAGTTGTGCACTTGAATGCCATTGAGGAGATAGCATATATGATCCTGCAACTGCATGTTCACATTCTTGCTGAAGAATAAAGAAGACTTCCTGAAATTTACTTTCTGACCCGTAAAGGAATGGTATAGATCCAGAATCCTGAGCACAACCCTTACAGACTTCAAGTCAGCACCACAAAAAACTAGAGTCATCCGCAAATAATAAATGAGATAATTGAACTCCCCCTCTTGCAATTCTGATGCCTGATAAATTGCCATGGTTAATCTCCTTCTGAATGAGTCTTGAGAAAAGATCAGACACCAATATAAAAATAAAAGGAGAAATTGGGTCTCCTTGTCTAATGCCCCGGGATGCTTTGAAATACCCACAGACCTCCCCATTGATATTCACAGAAAAAGCAGTGGTGGTCACACATGCCATAATCCAATCAACAAAAGTTCTATGAAAGCCAAACTTCAAAAGGATCAACTTAATACAATGCCACTCAATCCTGTCATAAGCCTTCATCATGTCAAGCTTAATTGCCATGAAACCCTTCTTACCCGTTCTGTGCCTGCTTAAAAAGTGAATTACTTCATGAGCCATGATTACATTGTCCATCATTTGCCTTCCTTGAATGTAGGCTGCCTGATTTTCACTAACACAAAGATGCAGGACATTCTTCAATCTTGAGGCTAGTAACTTGGAGATGATTTTGTAGACAACATTACATAGACTTATTGGCCTGAAATCACTCAAAGTTGTTGGATTTAAACATTTAGGGATAAGACAGATGATAGTATGGTTCCAGCTTTTTAATAATCTCTTAGATTCAAAGAAACTGAAGATGGCTGAACATAGCTCAGATTTTACTATGGGCCAGAAATGCTGAAAAAAAAAGGGGAGACATGCCATCCTCCCCAGGTGCTTTTCCTGGATTGAGACTGAATAATGAAAGTTTAATTTCATCCTCATTTACTTCAGCCACCAGCTCCTGATTAACTTCAGCAGATACAGAGCATGGAATGTACTGAAGAATTTGCTCCTCCTCTGCACTCCCTTGAGATTTGAATAACTGAGAATAAAAATTGCACACAGCCTCCTCAATTTCCTTTTTGGATTCACACATTCTGCCACCATCCACCATAAGCTTTGAAATCACATTGGTTTTTCTTCTTTGCATAGTAAAGGCATGGAAAAATCTGGTGTTACTGTCCCCTTCTCTGAGCCATTGGTTTCTTGATTTCTGCCTCCAAAATTCTTCTTCAGAACACTGAGCCTCTTCCAATTCCCTTTTCATTTTGTCCCACATTTCCCAATTCTTTTCTCCTCCAAGGGCTCTCAGCTCATCAAGCCCCACTGTTAGTTTATCAATTTTCACAGCATTCTCAGATTTAAAGACTTGGCTCCATTTTAGCAATGCAATTCTAGTCTGTTTGATCCTTTCTTTAATCTGAAACATAGGAGTTCCAGAAAAATTTGTGGTCCAGGCATCTGCAATTATCTCCTTCACTCCTTCCTTTTTCAGCCACCTACAATCAAACTGGAACCTGGTTCTCCTCCTTTTAGATTCAAATCCTTCATCAGACATCACCAGCAGCCCATGGTCTGAAGAAGTTTTCAAACAATTTAACACAAGAGCATTAGGAAACTGGGAGCACCACCCAAATGAACCAAAAACCCGGTCCAATTTCTCCTCTATGAATTCTTCACCCCTCCTGTTGTTACTCCAAGTGAACTGGTGACCCTGCATAGCAACTTCCATCATACCCATATGGTTTACAAAATCTTGAAATTCAGCTAACTCTTCCACCCCTGTATCCCTGCCCCCCACCTTCTCACTGTTGCAAAGAATAGAGTTCCAGTCACCACCTATCACCCAATTGGAGCCCCATTTGATACTGGCTTGTTTTAAGAAGTCCCATTGCTGCAATCTAACCCCTCTGTCAGTGCTAGCATAAACACAAGATATCCACAAAGAACCATCCCCCCTTTGCTCATTTACCTCCAATTCAATACAAAAGGAATGACAAAGAACCTGAATAATATTAATGGAACTGTCCCACAACACAGCAAGCCCTCCACTGAACCCTATAGGGTCCACAAAACTCCACCTATCCCCAAAACCAAGCTTAGTGCAGACAGTATTAACAAATTTTTTGGATTTTTTTGTTTCAGAAAGAAAAATAACCTGTGGGTGGTGGACTCTAATAGAGTCCTTAAGCTGGGAGACTGTAGAGGGCCCACCCAGACCTCTACAGTTCCACCAGATTAGCTTCATTTATTTGGTTGGGGCCATTCTAGGCTGGCTACCACCACCTCCGAGTTGCAACTTTTCAATTTCTTCACCCCAGTGTCTGATGATCTTATATCAGAGTCATGATCAGCTATGTTTGGAGTATTGCTTCTGCTTCTTTTCAAATTATTTTGACCACTGGTCCCTTTCAAGTTTTCTTCCCCTAGGGAATGAGACTTGGCTTTTGCTCCTAGTCTTTTCCACCCTTTGCTCTTTTTGGATGTCCCCTCTTCAGACTGGTAAACTACCTCACCATC